GGCCCTCAGCCAGGGTCAACCCACGACACAACTGAAATAGCAAGAACCACTGCCCAAGACAAAAGCCAGGTGCAAGGCTATCAAGAAACTGGGTTAAGTGGGTACATACTCAGATGAAAGATCAAATGCGTAGAGAAGGAGTATATACTGAGTAACACGAGTACTTTCACACTTCAGCACTAGTGGGAGAAAAACGAGGGAAAGCCAAAGAAAGGAGAGAAACACAAAATCACTGGGGGTGTGTGTGTTGAGAATCTGAGAGAGAAATTAAAAGGGAAATTCCCAGGTAGAAAGCAGGTTGAAGACAAGCTTGTAACACTGGTAAGTAAATCAAGAATATTCTCTTCATTAGCAATTTCTCCTCCTAACTGAAGCACTCCATAAACCACTGTATAGTAGCTGGCTGTTTGGACTTAAAATCGGTAACAATGCAGTAACACAGCATTAGCTGTACAGTTTTGCGTTGGTTCTCAATGCACTTCACAGTCATCTCATCTTCTCAGTTTCACAGATGGAAAGCAGAAACAGTGCCTTGACAAAGATCATCCACAGGCCGTTGGTACAGCCATGGAAGATTTGGCAGAAAACAGAAGTAATTCCTGACTAATGTCAGTCTGAAACCCAACTATAAATAAAAGTGTAACTAGATAATTGTATAGTATTAATTATAGCCAGATGATCAGTATCTTCACTGGGAACTGCTGACATTGCCTACAATTGTATTCCCTCACCTATATAAATTCAAGCAATAAAATGCACCTTTTAAGCCTTTTCCTTTTCAAACCCTGAATCTTAATCCCATATTTAACCTTATTTTTCACCAGGTTACCATTACTTGGGCCAGAACTACGTCGAAAATATCTGCCTCTGCCAACAGGCCCTTCCTGTGCTCCTGCTGCCTAACAGACTGTCCTTATCATCCTTATTAAATGATCTTTAACGGGCTCTTACACTTCTTTTTTCACCAGTACTGCAAAAACATCTCTTGTGTCTCTTCTTTGTATGACCTGCACCTGCCTTCCCTGGTTTAAACTGCTTGCTAGGATCTCTACAGGCCCACCACTGCACTTCTGCTGAGTGTACCCTGCAGCCAGAAAATACTGTCCTCCTGGGCGCACTCTTATTCCAGGAAACACGTGATCAGCTGGCACATCTCATTGGAATGAGGGAGATGAGTTGCACTGGAGGCTGATGCCCACGTACTTTCTCAGAACCATCAGGAGAACATTTTTAGGCAGCTCCAGAAGGGGTCAAAGACCACTTCCATAGCACACCCCAGCTCATACGAAAGCGCCGCATTTCCACAACCCATCGCAGCTCGTGCAGAGGATCGCAGAATGCTTTTGCGTCGTGCTGCTGCTGCTTCAGTTTGCGTGTGTAGTCAAATTCCACAGAGCAGCACTTAATCCCACGGATTCATTACTCAATCAAACAAATGGCGAAGCGATGGCACTAGAAAAGGTAGGTAAAACTAACAGACTAAAAAGAATTTGAGCTTAAACATAAATGGCCTTTTAGAATGACTGTCTATTTTAAGAGTCAAGTTTGCTAGTGCGTGCACTCTGGCAAATATTGCTCACAAGTATTGTTAAAATGAAAGTTGAATTTATACAAGCAGTATTTTGCAATCCCTTTTATTTATTTGCTTCTCTTGTATATCAGATACCTGTGAACTTCAAAACACAAAATATTGTTACCAAATTTACTAAAAAAATTGGGAAAATTCTGCATAAATCCACAATATTTACATAACTTTTTGTGACCATTTGTTCAACTGAATTCTTACTGACTTACAGATCATTCTGCATTTGTGAGTGCACCAGTCGGGGGGTAAAAAAAAAAGGATAGCATTACATGGGAAATCTCTGAGAGACTTAATAAATTATGAGTGTCAAAATGTGATCTGTAAAATGTAACTTTGGAAAATTGAGCAACTCTGGTGAAAAAGCCTACCTCTGACTTTGTGTAATAATAAAGATGTGCACGACTTGAAAGACAAACAGTTCTGAGGATACTGATAATTGGTGAAATTCTTTTGAGCCAGAAGCCAACAAAGCCAGCGAATGGCTTAAGGTTTTTTTTTTGACTTGAATGTGACTCAGGAATGCAATAGTGTGCTGTCTGCCTACATGGAGACAAGTTTTGGTTTAGAGAAATACAGCAGTCTCATCCACACTTAGACCGGGGTGGTGCAACATTTCTGAGCACACGCTGCAATTTAACAACTTCAATAGTGTTTACTGACCCTTCACAACTCGGCTTCGAAGTGCCCTTTGTTGTCTCTTACGGAGACTTGGCACTGCAGACAACTCTGTTCTACACACCTAATTTCAGTTCAAAATGCACAGGAAGATAGTGCTTGGCACCTACATCTTTGGTCTTATCTAGTTTTATCTTTCTGATTTCATGGATGTAATCTAGAAGTAGCTTTTGGCACAGAAAGTACTAGTCTTCTCTGTTAGATGCAGATTTGAATTTTAAAAAGAATACTGCCTTCTTTGTAATATCACAGCGAAAAATTCAGATTTACCAATTTAATTGCCTATTACTATCAAAAGCTTCTAAACAGTCATGGTTTTGTCTTAGAAGGCCCCATATGGGGAGTGCTATTGTATCTCACTCTCCCAATGGAAAAAAATAAATAGGGTTATTTGCTTCAGACTGTGCACTTGGGTAGACAACTTCTCGTAGCTGTTGTTATCTACAAGAAAAACTAGCTGACTAGCACCTAAACTACAGAAACATGGGCTACATGAGTAGTAAGGTAATGAAAAAAAATCACCTAAATACCCAAATTACAGACATACTATCTTTTGCACAGTAAGACTGATCCTCAGTGCTTGGAGGATAATAGCAGAAAACAAAAGAAATTAAAGCTGTCAAATGAAGAAATCGGGCTGGGAATACACAGGCGGAGTGGTAATAATACATGTGAAAGCCACGAAACTGAATCAGCTTTCCTCCACAGAACCAGCCAAAACTCTCTGCGGCCAGTTGCCCTCCAGGAAATAATCCTTCAGTCACTGTTCTGTCTGCTTACAGAAAAGTGTGCTTCATTCTGTTTTTATTAAATTTAAATCTTTCATTACCAGTGCTAGTCCACTGCTGCATTACACTGAAGTATGAATGTCAGTTAACTCCAAGTCCTCAATAGCTCCAGCTGGAAATGCCAAAGGGTTATACATTTAATAGATATCTAAACTCCATTTTTCATTCACTCACCTCTGCTTTGCAGCTCAGCTGTGAGTTGCCTTTCCAAGCTCTCTCTCAGTTCTCTCTCTCTACAAAGCTCCATCTTTAACTCTTTCTTTTCCTGCTGTATCTGCTTTTCCTGGACTCTCGCATTGTCAACAGCCACTTTCAGTAGGCCCTAAAACACACACAAATGTAAGATCTGAAAATACCGTTTTGCTTCAACAGTGACAAAATACATCTGTTTGTTTCTTTTACACCCTCTAGGAAAACAGAAAAATTAAAAGCAGGAACCTATAGACCTGGAATGTAACTGGGCCTTTGAAGTAGCTAAATGTTATATATGAGCAATTTTGTGGCATGGAATCATTCTGTATAGCTTTTGCTAATTCATCCTACTGATGTGGTTTATTACAAACGGAGTGCCGTATCATTGCTGACCTCGGTCAACTGCAGGGAGAAGCAAAGGAGGAATAATGACACTGGTGAATTTTAATATGATCATTATTGCCTACTATTAAGTCAAATAGACAATGTATGAAACCCTTTCAGGATCGATAATGCCAGATAGTGGAAACCTAAGCATTACATTAAATAAAAGAAATTAGAATTGCAGATACAAAATAGTTTCTGAAACTTTTTAAAGAGATTGAAAAAGAAACACATTTTATCTATCATGACATAGCCTGGCCCTATAGAGAATAATTTACCTGAATGTTGGTTAATAGTGTTTCTACTGATGAAAGACCATCAGCAAAAAGAAATGGCGCCGGAAATCCAGGAGGCAAGGCCTGTCCAGCCAGTTGGACTTTATCTAAGGTTGGTTTCATTATTGGAATGGCAATTTGGACCTCTTCTGTAAAGATAGGTTTAAAAGCAACATCAGAAAGCATTGGAAATATAGGTAAATGTAATTTTTAGAAACTAGCATTCTGTTTACCTGGAAGTCAAAATACAAGCGCATTAGTAAAATCGACACTGTTTCAGTCTTTGGGCAGCTGTGATCATTGCTAAGGTAAGTTTGCAAAATAGTACAGAACAATAATAAATATACTGAAGACTACAAAGTATCTTTACTAGAGCATAGACTATTCTTTCACAAATTCTACAGAATTATAACAGTATTACACAGTTTATTAAACCTGAATGACCTTTCTTCATTCTATCACACGTGCCATTCTGTGATGTGGATTTTTTTGTTGGTAGAGCCTCAACAAAATTCTAATCAAGAAATGTATCACATCTCTTTACTCCTTTACCATCATCCTTCCCCTGCTCAGCAGTCAATAATCTCCACTGAGTCATCCCCTCCTGCTTAGCTAGCACCAACTCCACGTTGTCAGTGAAGTGTCAGCACAGGTTTTCTTAACAAGTACCTTGCTCCTGGCAGCCTTTCTAGTCCCAGGCAGTAGCCAACAACGCTTTGCCGAGTTACCTCTACCGGAGGGATACAGAGAGCTGGGTGGCAGGGGGTCACAGGAGCGGCTGGGGCTCACGCCTGCCATTTACTGCACAAAACTAGACTGATGCATCTCTTACAAAGTGTAGAATCGGGACCTGGGAGCTTCAAATAGATCAAATAGATCATGTTGTGATAGAGCAGGCTGTGCACAGACAGTAGAAATGTGTATGCGGAAAGAAACAACATCATCAGTAATTATTTTTCAAAAATCCTTGAAATTTTGTGATGAATCGGTACTATCACCAAGGAACTCACATTTTTGAATAGGACAATTTAAAGATATTTTAGGATAGCAAATGTATCTCCTCCTTTCAGATCCCTATGAGTACTTCTTCCCCATGTATTTATTTTAAACACCAAGTTAATTGCTGAAAAACACATAATCTGCTATGAGTCTTTTAAGCCGAACTCCGTACGTTTCTTTTACTCTGCGATGTAAAAAAAAATATTTCTGTGTAACATTCCAGGACAATTCAGTCTATATATAATAAGCTCCTGCACTTGCAGAAATCATGAAGAATATCTTCTCAGCAATTGCTTTTTAGTAAAGCTTGCAACTAATGTATTGACCATAAGTTCATGATGCATGTGTTGTGTAAGGGCAACTGCACAGCCAGTCCTGATAGTTTCATTTGTCAAGTGTCTTGGTCGTATTAAAGCCAGGATTTACAATTAGACCATACCATATTCAAAAGGCTGCCTTCTTCCACCTCTCTTATTAAAAAAGGAAACAACCAAAAAACAAACTCGTAAAGAATCTGACAACAATGAGTTAAACCACGGTGTCTCCGCAGCAGAACTATTACCGAGATGCTCCTATTGAGCAGCAAGCACTTTTTGCTGTGTTTCTAATACACAACTACTGACAACCAACCAGGAGCATTACCAGTTTTCAAGTATTCTTTAAAATCTCTGTTTAGGGAGTATTTTGTTTTCACTATGTGAGTTCATTAAATGGAACATCTTTATAATGATTCTTCAGAACTAATAACAACAAAAGCCAGTACCTCCGCACATCTTCATAGCTATCATTTTAGAGCTATGTTCCTGTAATTTAAATGATCCATTAAAAAAAACCCCAACAACTCTGGTAACATACTCAGACCATGCAATTCGTGCTGATTCAGATACACCATTTCTCATATTTAAATATCTTCTATCGGTGGCAGAGTTTTTAAAATAAAGTGATCAGTTAATAGAAAAATAATAATAATGTCTAAGGCAGCCACAAAAGACTAAACAGAAGTGGCATTTGAAAATAAAACATGAAGTATGCATAACAAAACTGTAGTTGCTTTGAAATCTCTAGAAATCTCTACTATTTGGAGATGAAAGTACTAACATTAAATTGGCCGAAAGGAAAATTACTATTGACTGCGAAGACAGGTTGCATGGTCTATGGTTTGTAATGTTACTGTACAGCAGATTGAAGTTTCAAAATAGTATTACTCTTCTTTAAAGAGATAGACACAGCTAAATTAGGTGCTGCTTGCTGCAGTGAGGATCAAATGCAAAAAGAATCATATTTCATCAGACCTAGTCAACACCAGGAAAATAAATAGAAATATAAGAGGTATGCAGGCAATGATTCATTTTGATAATCTGGCCCAAGAGAGACACATAGAGACAGCACACAGATCTAAGCTTCTACCAAAAGACAAATAGGACACAGAGGGTGGGAATTGGGATGACAGTGTAGCAGAGGTCACATCGATTTTCAGCAGCAGTTTTCACACAGATGAGATAACCCTGGACTCTATTTGGCCCATTGTTCATATCCTACCTGTCCCAGAAGCAATAAATTTCCAAGTCCCAGAAAAAGGGCAGTAAAGAAGAAGGATTCTACTTATGACTTCTTATGATTAAGTTTTTGTGCTAACCAAACATGCTTTGCAGACCAAGGTCACATTGCATGTTAAAGTCCGTAATAGCTGAAAACTAGAAGCAGCATATTATGTTTTAGCGTCTATGGGTGGAAACTGTCAAACCATTCATCATTTTTTTTTTCTGATTGAAATCACACTCTGCAAAGATGAATGATAAATGCATCAGAAATCTATTTCAATCTTGTAATAGGTCTTCACATCTGAATGGTGTCTACATCTTGCCCACACTCTGAGTAAGTGCACGGTTAGGCAGGAATTTATTAGCTAGACTGGAGAAATCATAATTGGTAAAGCAATTAAAAATGGCACGTGTTGGAAGCCTGTTTTGTGGATTGTATCAAATGCGTCTCTTTACTAGAAAAAAAAAAAGAAGTTGATTTAAGCATTTTGATTTTAAAGAACACTAAAAATATAAATGCTAAAAGCTGCGCTCACACATACAGTACAACAGAATAAGCAAGAAACAAAAGCTAGGACAACTACAGTCTAACCAAGGACACAAACAACCTTCCTATTTATTGAAGCAAAGTGGGAACTACTTTTATCGAGCTTGTTTGTTAAACCTGCCATGCTTTATAATAGCATTCAGGAACCCATTCAGAGTGCAGTCTTTTAATTTCTAGCTGGCATCCAGATGAATAGACAAAAGGAAGAATTACATTGCAGAGAAAAGAAATACACAGTAAACACAAACAGCAAACGGAATATTATCCCAGGAAAGCAGATGGAAATCTGCTAGGACGTTTCTCGTTCTTAATTCTATATACTAAAATATATCATCTTCCATCTTCTGCCTAAGTTGCAGCAATAGAGACTGGAAAACGAAGCATCCACCTACGGACTAAACGCAGCTCTGGGAACACGAGTAATGCGAATTGCTCCCTGCATGACAGTGCATGGCCCAAACCAACAGGCAATTTTTATTTGCCAGCTGGTTTATATTCTTTCAGAAGGCATGTTTTTAAATCCATCATTCATATACCTGATACACTTGACATGTCAGATCCCTCTCAAAACACAGTAGAAATATTAAAGCTACAATTTACATATTGCCTAACACTAGTTAGACCACCAAGTTAATTCTTCACATACACTTCAAAACTTTATCCGTCTGGAGCTGTGTAAGCATTATATGTAAACCTCACCCCAAACAGCATATAGAATATAACCCATGCATAAAATAAATATGTGGCATATGCAGAAGAGAGTAAAAAATTTACATGAAATTTATAGTTATTAATCTGTTAGTTACTAACCAAAACATTTGAGCCTTCAGCCAGCATTAATAAGATGGTTTTGAACATAGATGGTAGCTGGGTCACTCCTTTTCCCTGCCTGTGGCACACAATTTAGAAACCTAAGGACCAAATTGGTTTATCACAATTATAATTCTTGGAGCTTCATATCTGAGTGATGGGGATTACATTTAATGGTCCACAGTTATAAAAGAACAGCCTAGACACTCTAATGGACCTTTCTGACCCTTAATACAATAAAACAGAGGATCTGCAACACCAGGTGAGTTGTACGTGCTCCTCATGTCTGAAAATACGATGCTACATTTTTATTTGAAATAGCATTATTTGCCCAAAGATCTTAACAGAATCATCCAAACCATTGTATCTTTATAGTGATGAGAGGTGCCTTGACTTCAGTCGTGTATCTACTTCACAACAACAGTGACAGGCAGTGGGGTCCAAACACGGATATTTTGACAGAATCAGGGCCTAACTTCTAATTTTTGACTGCACAAAGCAGTTTTCCAAAAAAGTGAGACTTCTTATTTTAGTTTTAAACCTTGGCAACTTCTGTGTTGGTTAACTAGAGACTAGTAGAATTTTTTTCTTTTGCAGTAAGGTAAGTATGAAAAACCTGTAATCTGAAGCATTGTTTATTTCAAATATCTTGTGTCTGTAAGTCTGCAAGGACAGGGTTATCTGTCTTCAGTGTCTTAATAACTCCAAAAATCCCCCATAAACCTCTGCCTGCCTCCTTCTCCCTCCCTCATTGCTTTTCTGCCTGGAGCTGAGCACTCCTGTTCATCAGTGAGAAAAGAGATACCTCCTCCTAACCTGGCACCAATCAGACTTAGAAATTTACTGCTTTAACCTTGTGATTCAGGTGCCAAATTTAAAGTCACTGCTGTTTTTCTTAATTACAGTCCCTGAATGAACAGGGTCAATGAATGCAATTGGGGAGTAGCTGATTAATCCAGCGCACTAGCTTTAAATCAGACTTTATTTCATTTTCAAATGATTGATACAACTTGATAGCACACAAGCATTTTTCACTACTGAGCTTTGCCATAAAAAACCTTCACTTTAAAAATAGTATCTAATCATTCCTTAAAAGCTTTTGGAAACTATCACAAAACGGTAGTATCAACTATGCTCTGCTTCACGGTACCTGCGTCCCAGCTGGCTCTCACCCATGCACGCTGAAATCAGACAATTTTGTCCTGAGGAAGTGTTTAATAAAACCTTTTTGTTGTTTTCGACACAGGGAGAA